CCCCCCCCCCAGGTGCGTGACGTCATTTATGGACGGCCCCAAAGTAATTCATTTGTATGACGATGACGACAATGGAGAGTGGAGCGGTAGGTATTGCTGTGTTATCCGCACACAATGCATGTACGTACGTATGTTAAACTTCGTTCGCACCGTACGTAGCCAACCCTTTTGCCGATCCACCGCTTGTCATTTAATTTAGTTTTCTTCGTCAGCTGGCCCAAAAAACACGCGAGACGCCCTTCTGGCTGGAGTACCAAGATCCGCCCTTAACATGAACTACATTTTATTTATTTGGGAGTTTGGCAAAACCGCCTCGGTACCATTGGTCGACAGAGTCACTCGCATATTTAACCTGGCCTTCTTGTAAACATGAACAATACAAAATCATGACGCTGTCACTGTGGACAATATCAGTAACAACATAACGAGGCAGACGTTTACACACCGCTCCCATGTTTGTTTGATTTTCTGCGTGAAGAATAAAAGTACGTTAACCCCCTAAACGGAAAGCTGTATAAAGCACTGCTTTAGATTATTTCGTGGAGATATATTTATTTGGCGTGGGAGGTGTATTGCTTATTCATGCTGTATTCTAAACGCATTAAATTGGATAGTAACATCCACACTGGATCGTCATCGTCTGGCCTGACAGACGAAACGCTATTTGGAACTAAAGTATGTTTTAAAACTGCCTCGCTGCTCACAAATGGGAGCAGCAGTGTGCAAACCCCACCCTCTACGTGATTCAGCATTTTTTTTTTATTTGGCAACTACGTACACCAAGGGGAATCTTTAAATACTTTTAAACATGCGTACAGGTCGAGCTAAAAATGCATACTCAACTATTGTAAACGCGGCATATTGAGTGTTAACTTAAGTCTGGTCGATCATTAGGCTGATGGACGCAATGTGCTTCCTGAATGTAATCACATAAGTATTGGCGCAATTTATATCTTAAAGAGCAATGAACCAGAATAATTTGCACACTGAGTGCATTGATTGATGTTTCACGATGATGATACATTTCATGGACACGCATCATGCACGGGATTTCAAACATCGTGTCACACTGCACGCATTCATATAATCCCGGTAAATAATATATATAATTGACAAAATGCACATTAGCGTGGGTGGCTTATAATTCAAACTGATTTCCTCTGCCCCGGTATTGTAACATACACATGTAAAGGCCCTTGATTATAGGGCTGCCTGTGTGCGAGAAACCGCGAGCTCATGTCATTGAGCAAGAACCCAGCCTTCGCGTGACTCGGCAACTTTTCTTCTTCATGTTGTTGGCCTGAGAACGCCGAAAGAGCCAAGATTGATGAGAACAGCACAAAGAAGTGAACCTTTCTCCTGAAACGTGCACACACCCCAGGCCCAACCCTGACCACCGCAGCCACAGCACCGGATTACCCAATGCTGCACAATTACTGAGCACAATAACCATTGTGGCCATTACCACCTTGTGCAGGTGAGCCTATTTGTAGGGTGAGAGATGTAAGGTGGGGGAGTGTGTGGTGAGTGTGTGTTCGAATCTTCATTTCCTGCCACATTTTTAAACAAAGTTCCGCCAGCAGACAATGAATACAGCCTGGGTCACAATTATTTTGAAATCCATCCATGTATATACACGGTGTCCGTAACACTATTTATTCATGAAAGCACGTGTTGTAATTCGACCGAAGTTTGAGCTAGAGTCGGTACAAAACAAAGACAAAGATCCCCCGTGTAGCCTGCAACAGACTGTTGGGGCAAGTGCCGTCAGCGTGCAGTACCTATGAAGGCCGGCACGGCACACGAGGGGGTGGGTGGCCAACACCGCGCCCGGTCGCCTTTGTCTCCCCAGTGGCGATGTTTACACATCGCACCAGGTACTCATTTGAGGCTGAGTCGACATAGGGGAGGCCCAGGACCGATTCAAGATAATCGTCACCGGCGTTGGCCGTGAGCAGCACGCTAACCGCTACACGACCGCTTCCCACGTTGTCTAGGTCGGCACGCACGCAAACGCGCATTTGTTCGAGTTACGATTTTATCTGACGAGTCTCACCCCCCCCCCCCCCTCCTGAACTTGCGTGCTGTCGAACATCGCCTCGAAGCTTTTGGGTTTATACAAAACAAACACGTGTCAGTTCAATCCGTAATTTATATCCGTGTAATTTGTATCTGTCTCTGTACGTACAAAATAAAGCGGTTTTCGTACGCGATACATTGGCTCAACACGATCCTGCGAGTGCATAACTTCAGCAGCATTGATTCATTGATTCGGCACAAGCGAACTCTGGACCGGCAGGGCTTCCTTGAATCAATGTTGGTGAACTGCCACAAATGTTATAAGCAAATCACCCTCTCGTCAAGATGCGCATGGGGGTTAGTGCCGGATTATCCGAGTAGCAAAAGTAGCTCCATGTGTAGTAGCTACGGGCCCCGCACTTTCAAGGGCCCCGCGTTAAATGCTTTCAAGCTATCAATTCCGGTTCAGTGATTCTGCACTTGCTCTATTACTATAGTACTATACTGCCCTTCAACTTTTATGAACGACTGGGTGTTTAAGGTTAGCTATTTGTCGTATTATCTGGCTCTGTAGCAAATGAAAACGCACAATTAATTTACTTTGCAAGTAAAAAGGTGCGTGTTTTAATATTTGTTTAGGGCCCCTTAATAACATATACTAACTACAGGCCCCGCATTAGCTTAATCCGGCACTGCATGGGGGGGGGGGTCCTAGTTTTTGCGCAAAATGAGGTGTCAAACTATAACCCCAGTGGGACGCGAAATTTAGAATGCGTGAAAAGATTACCTCCGGACCACATTTATGGTCTTCGATTGCAGCCACAATGACTCGGCACATTACGAAGGTCTCCTGACATCGTCAGAGATATCTATCAACGTGAACATTACGCAACACAGAATGTGGGTCGGTTGACACGGGGTTGCGTGCCGTTTTACCCAAAGTGCAAAGTCCTGCGGCGTTTTGGATAAAGGCCACGAGACAGCAATCAAACCCATGCCATTAATTGCTTTTGCCACGACTACCTGTAAGTATTATTGTCACGGCACATGCACTTGGAGTTTAGTAACTCTGCCTAGCGGAGTAACAAAGCCCAGTCAATAACAACCCAAGTCCCAAAAAGGAAAGCGAGACGAGAGAAAACCCTAGGATCACGCTCTTTGGTGAAACTCCTACCAGGGGTGGGGAACCTTTTTTTTCTGCCAAGGGCCATTTGGATATTTAACACATCATTCGCGGGCCATACAAAATGATCAACTTAAAAATTAGCCTGTTATATTTGGTCAAACATTTAATTAACTCACCCCCTAATGCGATGGCTGGAACTGCTTCTCTTTGGTGAGGCGCGTGTGATGATGTTAGCTGGTATTGATGATGTTGCTGCTGCTACTCGCAACTGTTTTTCCAGGTTTGCTCCTAGATTTATTGAATTTCGAATCCCGCCTGCGGTTGCCTTGGCAGGGCCACACCAAATGATTTCGCGGGCCCCATACGGCCCGCGGGCCGGACGTTCCCCCCACCCCTGTGACCGAAACGAATCTGCTGGGCTTGCGAAGTGGCCGGTAGGTGGCAGTACAGCAAGGATCATTGCATCCATCCGCGTGGGGGTTTTGAGCGTTTATCGAAGTGTATCAGTCGCGTTTGTTGTTGTTGTTGTACGGGGTGCTCATTGCCGACGGTGGCCAAACATCTCAATTGCAGGGCCCTCTTGAAAAGAGGTCTTGGTACTCAGTCGGGACTTTCATGGTCAAATAAATAAATAAATTGCATTGCAGTTTAACGATCGTCGAGTCAATGTTAATGGGGCAATTGCCAGCAACTCTTGCAAAGTCAGGATTGCATACACGCGGTCACTAGAGGAATATAATGCACAGTAACATTGTACAACATTGGTGCAAATCCACTGCTGCATGACGCCATGCGGGGCGTGGAGGGTGTTTGGCCATACTTCACCACACCGGTTAGCGCGGGTTGGTGAAAGCGGGGAGCATAGACGTTGGAGCTTAGCACAGTACAATGAATGTTGCTGGACTGCCCCCTGCTAGCAAGGTACTTGCAATACAGTAAAAAAATGCAACAATCCCCCGTATAGCCTTAACATACTGTAGGGGCAAGTGCTGTTAGCAAGCAGCACCAATGAAGGCCGGCACTGTGGCACATGAGGGGGTGGGTGGCCAGCACCACCACGCCCGGCCACCTTTGTCTCCCCAGTGGCGATGTTTACTACACATCGCACCAGGTACTCATTAGAGGCTGAGTCAACCTAGCGGAGGCCCAGAGCCGGTTCAGAGAATCGTCACTGGTGTTGGCCGCGAGCGGGAATCGAACCCAGGTGGCGAGGTTCGTGGTGCTAACCACTACACGACCGCTCCCCACAGTACACAACGCAGGACACATGCAATTACTGCACTGCGCCATTATACACTACACATAATGATACTGCATTGCGTACATCTCACTCTACTGAATATTTCCATTTGCTGTGCACTTTGGGGAATAAAAAATAACCCCTGCACGTTGTGCACGTTTAAAGAAAATAATGTTTAAGAATGTTAAATGAAACATCTGCAAAAGTTTGCTTGCTGCTTGGTTAATCATTGCACAGAGCCAGGGCCAAACGAGTGATTCTTTCTGTCTGAAGATAATGCAGTTGGCATGACAGAATTATCTCACACACGCACAGGAATTCCCTCTCCTATTGGTGTTAAGTGTAGAATGTTCGAGCAAAGCACCGAGTCTCAATCTCGTGTCAACAAAAAAATGTCCCCGGCAACGACTTCCACGCAAGAGGGTTACAAAATTCCGGATATTGAGGTGCGCAAATGTGGAGAGTGAGATGGCTGATTTTATGGTTGTGGGTAAATTGGAGAGAGGGAGGGAGGGAGAGGGCTTTCGAGAATGTGGAAAGTTTGGGGCGGAGAGGGTGGTGATAGCTGGGGAGGGGTTTGGTCTGGGGTGGTGTGGAGGATATGGGGGGAGGGTGAACATGGAAAGTGGGCGAGGTTGTGCAATGTCAGACAGCCGAGTATAAATACCGCAGCCGCCTCCGCTTGGTAACACTCTCCACTCTCTCCCTGGGGCTCTGCAAGTTTCTGGTTAAGGCCATTTACACATCTCAGCCAAGACTCCCAAGGTAAGAACTTTCTCTTTTTTTTACAATTCCGATCGGTGCGCATTGTGAATGTTGCGCTACGTTGTGAGCTAAATCGCGCAATGACACTGCACCCGCAAGGACATGGCTATTTTTAGTTTATTTTTAGTTTATTTTTAGTTCATATTTAGTTGATTTTTAGTGCGTTGCATTCAACGTGGCCAGATCTTGCTGACTAAAAAGCACACACGAGATAAGACGTTGTAAGTTAGTTCTACCATTTAAATGGCCACTAATTGATAATTGAAAGGTGACGTTTTGGCACTAGTGCGATACAAAAGTCATTTACGTTTATCGCTCGTATATTAAGGGGTGGTTGAAAGGGGGAAAAAAAAACTTCCCAATTCCTGGATGGCAGCGACGATGAACAGCTTTGACTTCGATATCAGACTGCAGTCGTGATGCTCTTGCAATAAAATTCGAGCCACGTGCGTTTCGGGGTGTTTGTGAATTGTTGGCTTTCTAATTAATTACGACAGGACTGATGACGGGAATATTTCGCTGTAAACCGGCTTTCTGCGAGGCGAGGTTTCCAATTCATTGTTGCAATCCGAGCTACCCAGCGCTAACGCCCAATTTCCAGATTTACCAGTTCTGTCTTGTTCATAATAGTTAATAATGTAAAGTCGTTGCACGCTACACGCACCTGATGATTGGCAGAGAAATAATGCACCCACCCCCCCATTGTGGCACTATAGTCCAAGGACAGAGTCTTTTTTTTTACAGTGTCACTTTTTTTTAACCGAATTCCGCCACATTCAAGAGCGTCCCAGTAAAACGGCAAGCAACGTTTGACTAGCATTGGTCCAACATGTTTACTGGGTGAATGTGTGTGTGTGTACTGTGTGTTAAACTTCTTTCGCACCGTACGTAGCCAACCGTGCTAATGGGAAGACGACAATGCTACCACAGAGCGGTTCTAAATAAAGTTTTCAATCGAGATTTTTTTAAAAGTGAAACGTTCCTAGGGGCCTCCCGATATCGGACAGCACTTGCCCCAACTATCTGTTGTATTTGCGTGGAGCTGATTGATTTGGTAACCGTAGTAAGAAGGTAAAGCACCCGTGGTAGTGTGAGGTGCTACGAACTGGCGTCTAGAAAACTAAAAGTTTCGTGTTTTTTTTGCGGCCTTTATCGGCTGCTTGTGTTCGATTGCAGCAGGGTGTGTGAGTTCAGCTCGTTCGTTCTAGGGGTTCGCTTATCGTCCGGGTGGCTGAGGACACAAAGCAGACGACGCACCCTGTAATGTCATCTCGCCACGGTGGTGAGATGTTAACGCCCTCGCCTGGTATACAGGAGGTCGTGGGTTCTATCTCGGCCCTGACGCCTGCTGTGCATTTGGAGTTTGCGGTGTCTCTCTCTCCCCGTGGTCGCGTGGATTTTTGTCCGGGTCGTCTGGTTTGTTCCCTCCACATTTAAAATCAACATCACGCGTTTCGAGTATTTGGCTTTAAAAAAATGTCCACATGATTAGCCACTTGGTTGAGCAATCGTTTGTGTCCAGGTCACTTATGAAAAACAGCTACATAGCTCAGTGGGCCTTGCATGGTAAAAAAAAAGTTAGTTTTAGTTTATACTAGTAGGAACCTCCTGGTTACACCAGCTCACAGGGAAGTTGTGTGTCCGTCCGTCGTGCATCCAAAAGTGGGGGTGGGTGGGGGTGGGTGGGGGTGGGTGGGGAGGGTGGGGCTGGGTGGGGGAGGTTGGGGAGGATAGGGCGGGGTGGGGAGGGTGGAGAGGGTGGGGCTGGTGGGGGAGGGTGGGGCTGGTGGGGGAGGTTGGGGGCTGAGTGGGGGAGGTTGGGGCTGGGTGGGGGAGGTAGGGGCTGGGTGGGGGAGGTGGGGGAGGTAGGGGCTGGGTGGGGGAGGTAGGGGCTGGGTGGGGGAGGTAGGGGCTGGGTGGGGGAGGTAGGGGCTGGGTGGGGGAGGTTGGGGCTGGGTGGGGGAGGTTGGGGCTGAATGGGGGAGGTTGGGGCTGAATGGGGGAGGTTGGGGCTGAATGGGGGAGGTTGGGGCTGAATGGGGGAGGTTGGGGCTGAATGGGGGAGGTTGGGGCTGAATGGGGGAGGTTGGGGCTGAATGGGGGAGGTAGGGGCTGGGTGGGGGAGGTAGGGGCTGGGTGGGGGAGGTAGGGGCTGGGTGGGGGGAGGTAGGGGCTGGGTGGGGGAGGTAGGGGCTGGGTGGGGGAGGTTGGGGCTGGGTGGGGGAGGTAGGGGCTGGGTGGGGGAGGTAGGGGCTGGGTGGGGGAGGTAGGGGCTGGGTGGGGGAGGTAGGGGCTGGGTGGGGGAGGTTGGGGCTGGGTGGGGGAGGTTGGGGCTGAATGGGGGAGGTTGGGGCCGGGTGGGGTGGGTGGGGCTGGGTGGGGCTGGGGTGGGGAGGGTGGGGTGGGGCTAGGGTGGGGTGGGGGAGGGGCTGGGTAGGGAGGGGCCCTTATAAAACTCAACGTTTAACCTACTCACGCCGGCTTGTGCCCGCCCTCACAGTCGGGCATATTTGTGGAATACACCACGTGGTGCCGCCGTTGACCCTGGCCATTGACCGAGCAACCCAACGTTCCTACCAGCTCCCTCCGCAGTAATGTGTTTTCTTTGCTAATTCTGTTGAAAAAAAGTCACTGTTTAAAGAAAAAAAACACGTTCGCAGTCTCCTCTAGAATTCCGGAACCCTCTCCCAGGAGGCATCGTCAATGAATGCCACACGCAGCACGACAGTCCATGGCAGCTGTTGATTTCTTGTTTGTAGTTGGAGCGAGGGAGAGCGGAGGCGAAGTTGAATGGCCCAGTTGAGTTGTTGCTTCCAAGTTCTATATTTTTTTGTCATTGTGTGTGCAATGGCCATAGCAGGCCAACTAACAAAAGAGACAACTGATCCAACGCTGTACATTTGTATATAGATTTATTTTTTTAAAGACAAGCTAAACGCAATAGAACCATCTACTACTTACCAACAGTTTTTAAAGACCAGTTTTTCAACTTCTGCACGTGCAAAACTAGCTTACGCATTCCTCGGTGTGTGTGTGTGAAAGGTCGGATTAGGCTGCGTCCGACACTGGTTGTGGAATAAGGGAGTATACATTTGCTGGGTTGTTTTTGATGTGTGTGGTTGTGATCCCAGCGTGGTAGTGATCCCAGTGGTGAGCGGTATCGTGCATTTAGAGCTAAGTCGACCTAGGGGAGGTCACAGGATAGACTCGCCACAGTATTCCATTGATACAATGCGTTGCCGACAATTGGTTACCATGAGTATTTGGTGCGGTATCCTTTATATGTGTAAGAAGAGCCCTTGTGTTGATCCACTGCTGGATGAAGACCTCCCCCACACTGCGGATCTTGGGGGTTATTTGACTTTCGCACAACGCGGGTGTGTAAACACTCGCAATGAGGGAGCTCCTTTGTTTCCTTGAGATACACGTGAATCCCTTTTTTAATTTTGTGTGTGTTTTACGAGTAGCAATACCCTCGCCGGCTTGAAACGTTCGAAGAACTGGATTGATTGTGCGAGGTGCTCGCAGAGGTCCCTTTTTTGAGAGATCTGGACACGGGTTTCATCGGCGAGCTCCTCCTCCGGCAGGCGAGGCTGCGTTTTGGGCGCGAGGTCATATGGCCCGCATGAGCCCAGCCACCGCTTGCCTCGAAGCTCTCCTACTGCTTGTTCTTTAGGTCTTTCGGTAAAGTGACGTGGATAGGTTTAAAAAAAAAATATAACACGAAACTACGACGTTTCGATCGCAAAACAAGCGTTCGTCATCCAGCGCTTGTGTTGCGATCGAAACGTCGTAGCTTTTTTTTAATTAAATTTTTGTTATTTTCTTTTGAACCTATCTACGTGGCTTTACCGGAAGGCCCAAGGAATATGAATTCCTGCAGTCACGAAAGCTTTAAGTCAAAATTTCTGCTGCTGCTTCTATTGACCGGACAGGCGAGAGCCCAAGCGGCCGCGAAGACTTCTGGAATTAATGTGGTTTTTATTTATTTTAGGGGCCGTCCATAAATGACGTCACGCACCTGGGGCGGGGGGGTCAGACATTTGTGACGAGGGGGGGGAGGTGGTTTGAGAAATGTGATGTCACATCAAAATGCGCAACTTTAAATAAATATAGACAACACGTTCTACTTAATGAAATATACTTTTTTTATAAATGTTTTCTCCTACAACATCAAGAGTGCAGCGCCACATTAACTACGCACTACAATGACAATAGTTTAAAGCGATTTGAAGCATTTTTTGGGGGGGGGGGGGGCAGAGCTTTGACGTCATATTTGAGGGGGGGGGTCTGACTATTTGTGACGCCGTGTGACTGGGGTGGGGGGGGGGTAAAAAATCGTCCAAAATCGCGTGACGTCATTTATGGACGGCCCCGTACGCGGCGGATCTGGAAGCGAGGCTAACTTTGCCTTTTTGTCCATGTGGTGATTGCCCGCAGCTACCGGAGCCGACCCAAAAATGCCGACATACAAGCTGACGTACTTCAACTTGAAGGGACGTGCTGAGCTGTCCCGCTACATCTTCGCGTACGGGGACATCAAGTACGAGGACCAGCGCGTGGACCAAGCCGAGTGGGCCAAAATCAAGCCCAGTAAGCGTCCCCCCCACACCCCTCCTCAACACGCCCATTGACATTCTAAGACGTAGTTGTAGTGGTGGTGTAGTAGTAGTAATGGTTATAGTAATAATAGTAGTAGGTTTTCGCAACCAATATTATCCATGGCAAGGGTTTTTTTTATTCTGAGCTTGATTCGCGTAAATAATAAACGTGTCATAATCTTGACCTTGAATCTTTCGTGACTGCAGGAATATCCATACTCTGTGGTCCTTTCGGTAAAGACGTGACTTTACCGAAAGAACCAAAGAGTATATAAACGTGCCATTATCTGGCTCTCTCCGCCTGATGTGGCCGTTGTTTGTCCAATCGCCGTGCTCGAATTGCAAATGGGTTCACTCTCCAACACGCAACCGGCGCGCTGAAGCAGTCGCCACGTGGCCCGTTTTGTGTACGCGACACCCACGCTTGCGCGTGTGTGCGTGCGCGCAAAAGCCCTTTAGCCCGCGAATGTGAAGTTTTCTCTGCAAAGACCGTTGGGGCAAGCGCTGTTAGCGAGGTAGCACCTATGAAGGCCGGCACGGCGCACGAGAGGGTGTGGGTGGACAGCACGACGCCCGACCGCCTTTGTCTCCCCAGTGGCGATGTTTTACACGTGGCAACCAGGTAGTCATTTGAGACCTGAGTTGACCCTTACGGGAGCCCCAGGACCACACACACACACACACGGTATTATATTCTGGTGTGCATGCTATGGTAATATCCACCCAGCAGTTTTGAGTGTACACATCACGGCTGTAAACAATGGGCAGGTCACGTGTGGTGAGCTCAAGGGTGGGGTGCGCTCACACCTGCATTGCATGGACAGAATAGATGACAAAGCCCAACAAAGGAGCAGCCCTCGACCTCCCTAGTGGAGTCTCCCTTCCCGGCAGTAGAGTGGCCACGATCAGGACGTTGCAGGGCTGCTCCTTTGTCACCTTTTCTGACGGCGAACTCCGGTCATCCTCGTAGCGGATTTTGGCTGACCATCGAACAAAGACGGTCACCGCATCGCGTGGCGCTTTCAGTTGTGCCTCTGCTGCCATATTGGAACGCTCTTCCTGCCGATGTTAGGCAGCCAATGGAGGCTACGCACTTTTTAAAATCGTCATCTAGATTGAAATCTCATTTTCTTTACAACTGGTTTTTGTGTTTAGCTCGCTGTCCTTCCCTGCACCTCCTATTAGCGTGGTTGGCGATGTATGCTGCGAAAGGAGTTCATAATGCGTACATACGCTGCCCTTTGTTAGTTAATCCACTGCTGGATCAAGCACCCTCCCACCCCTCGCGCTCCCACACTGTGTTGGTCATTGAGGGATCGGGCTGGTTGTTTATCCATATTTTACTACACTGGTGATTGCCGGTGGCTGGCAGGTCTGGTTCGGGTATCGCTCACTACTTGGCCTTGCATCGACCCGAAGTGAAAAGTGTAAATATTGCACCACCTCCTGGCGGACCCGGCTCCGTGTCGCCTCCTTTTGGCCTCCGTGTGGTTTCTGGCACTCGCACTAATTCTTGGAAATATAAATGATGCACTTAATTAATCAGAATTGAATAATTGTTCTTATTAGTCGTGGCTTGTCCACTGCTGGATGAAGGCAATCCACCCCCCCCCCCCCCCAACCCGTGTCATCGCCATCTCTACTGGTCCTGCGATGCCACCACCCGTCACGCATTTGAGCTGACCGCACCACTCCGTCTCTCTCCGTAGTCGTTATGCTCTTGGGGGCGTTCTCTCCTCTAGCTGCCGTTTTGTCCATCAGCTTATCCTCTTCCCTTCTAACGGCAGTCTTATTTTTCACCTCCCCCCCCCCCCCCCCAAGAACTAATACATTTCACAAATCCTTCACGGCTTCCTCATCCTGAACCAAACTCTCTGCCAATGAGCAGATCTGCCGTGCAGAAAAAAGCAAGAGACTTTTGTTCCAAACGGGGGCCCCCCTTTATTCTTGCTGTAGATAAGATTAGTTTTCATAGTATCGTGATTTAACATATGGTTACATTATGCAAGATGGCCTCCATCACTGCGCTTGTATTAACAAGCCGGAGACATCGCTCATTGCAAATAAAATTGCCCACTGTTTTTTTTTATATGCATGCACTGAGTAAAGTACCGATGTTTGCATCAACGTAAGCAGCCACCCGTGGGATTAAACGGGCCTCTCAACTGCAATGGGTTCGTGACCTCTGCCCAGTCGCCGATCAATGACCGCACAGAATAAGAATTAAATAAACCCATCTTATGAAATATTTGGTTCTGCACTTAATTTGGCTAAATACCATCACTGATAGTGATTAACTCTCAGTTCGACCGGCAGTGCTGTCTTGGTAGCTGTTTGAGGTATGGAAGTGCTGCACCCTCGTGGTGGATGAGCGGCTGCGGGAGCGGTTCTGCAGCATCTCTCTTTAAACTCCGCGCCCTCCTCGTGCGCTTAGGGGTTGATGGACCGCTCCGTGAGGGGTCCGGATGGATTCTTTGTCTCGTCACGTGATGCCGACAGCACAACCAGGATAACAATTTGGGCACGAAGACGACGAGTTAAAACGAGACGGTTATCTATGGGGCCCTTTTTTGCCGCTATCGAGATGGTGAAAACAAGGACAGGCACTGACCCTTTCCGGCAGTAACACTACGGGAGGTGTTAAAAGATGTTCAAACCACCAAATGGACACCTACTTGCAAGTCATCAAGTCTGCATTAACCACACGTGTTTGTGGCAAAACATTAAAACAAACATGCGATGATGATGCTGATGAGCAATGCATTGTCCTCGGAACCGATGGCCTTCACCAGAGACGGCCTCCGTTACGGACTTGTATCGCCACCAGTGTTAGACCCAGAGACCAACGCCAAAAGGTGATGGGCAAAAATGGCAATGCAAATATCAAAGCATTCGTAGCTCGGGTCGAGCCATTGTAACTGTGCAGAACATGTGGGTGGGGGGGGGGGCCTTTTGGCGTCCTCTGGTCTAGCACTGTTTTGAGACTAGGCATAAAAGAAAGCTGTCTCTGGTGTGCACCAATCAGTTTCTAAGACAATGCCACATATATTATCAGAGTGTTAAATGTTGCATTCTGACCACAAGTGTTGTGGTTAATGCAGACATTATTCCTTGTAAAAGGTTTCAGTTTGGTGTTTTAACATCTTAACACGGCTGTTTTGTTGCCAGAAAAAAATAGGAAAAATCTATTCTCATGGGTGCGGGTGGGGGGGGCTCCGTGAATGAGCTTTTCTCTGTAAGTATGCGTGCAGAACGTTGCACTAAGAAGGCTCGGACAATCGTCCACATTCATGAGAAGAGCGGAACCCGATCCAGACCAATTCACTGATCCGAATGAACTCGGCGACCCATGGGTCATATGAGTGACATATGACCCATGACCTTTGACTTGAGTCAACTGACGCGCAACAACATGTGACCTTGCTAATCACGTGCGGGTTTGAAGCCAAGCAATGTCTTGAGAGTTCGTTGATGCAAACCAGTTTTACAGAACGGGCGGCACCCACGCCACCTGCTTGTACGTTTTTTTATAACCATGCATCGTTACGTTTTAATAACCGGCGCATCTCTCTGCTTCCCTCCACCTCCTTGCTATTCTCTCCACAGCCCTGCCCTTCAAGCAGGTGCCTGTGCTGGAGGTGGACGGCAAGATCATCAGCCAGAGTTTTGCCATCGCTCGTTTCCTGGCCCGGGAGGCAGGTGAGGTGTTGCAACTGGGCACGGGGGGGGTGGGGGGGGGGAGACACGGGCGTGTAGCGGCCACACGGGCGTTGCGGTGTGCACGCCAGGCAGCCGAGAGCTGGGCTTCCCCGGTCATACTTCAACATTCCACACTGTTGAGGGCTGTCCTCGCGAATTCGTCCATCAGCATTATCGTCATCGGTCGGTCGTGACCACTCCACCGTCGGATGAAGGCCTCCCAAAGCCGCCGCCACAATCCGCACGGCCGATTTTAGCGCGGTTCAACATACACACTCACATCTTTCGGTCCCGTAATTCAACAATCCACCCAGCGTATGTACACCAGATGATCTCCCCTGGTGGCCGACCTCTTGCACTTCTTTGCTCTCCAGCTGCCGCTCCAACTTATCCTCGCCTACCGGCCATCATCCCTGCCCAGGCCCAATTGTTTTAACAATCAAAACCGTGTGTACTGAATAGGCCCTTTGTTCTCTGATTGGCGCTCAAGTACAGTAATGCCGTATGGTATTTGCAAGGCATGAAATGTAAACGGATGATACATTTTGCTCTGACTGAGCAGAACATGCTCTGGCCACTAGGAGGCAGTCATGGAGCATTGGTGGAGCTTGCTGAAAATGCAACCTTTTCCCGTGGTGGATTCTGAATAATGAAAACAACATTTGAGCAGACAAGGGTTCGATTTGTTTATTTAAGCAGGAGAAAACTCCAGATCGGTTTCGGCTTTCTGAGTCTCATCGGCAGGGTGTGTGGCCTTGTTTCACAAAATGCTAACGGGTTGTCTGCCAACAGAGGTGTTGCAGACAGAGCTGCCGCCCAGGACCTCGCGAACCCGCCGCGTGAGCGATTCTTTTGAGGAAATTCTGGATTTGGGTCTTCCCCTAGGTTTGCTCGGCCTAAACTTCGCGATGGAGGGGGGGTCCCTCCTTTCTGCCTCCCAGGCTGACCTGAGCGCGAATCTGTGAGGGGGCGTCTGAGATTCTACGAGCGCAGAGGACAGGATAGTTTTTTTTTTTGTATCAAAGTTTCACCGATGTGTTTTATAAAGATAGCCGGAGAGCTGGGCTATCCGATTAGTTAAATAATTATCCTGTCTGTTATCGATTGGATTACTAAACTAATCGGATAATGCTGAAAATGTTGTCAAGGTTTTAGCCTCTGTTATTGCTCGTGTGATGGGCGATGCTTGGTTAAGTCATCAGCATTCTTGGTAAACTAAATTTTTTTTTAACATTTAGAAAATTACTTGATTACTAAAGCATAATAAGCTGTGTCACGCTTGAAGTCGGGGGGGCGCGGGGGGGGGTGGTGGTCCTGCTTTTTGGGAGGCCGGCAGTGCGGTGGCCACATCCTCGTGGTTCAATAAAGCAGAGTGCTGGTCTGTAAACTACAAATTATTACTCGATTTCAAGATCACGATGCCACCACCGTGGCCAAAGCCGTTGAAGCCGCCCACCGCGGCCCCCTCGCCCAACGCCGCTCGAAACCCTCCTCCGCCAGGTCCCGCAGCTGCTGCTGCTGCGCCGTTGAGATGCGCAGCGACCTCTGTGGTCTCCCCCCCCCCCCCCCCCCCCCCCGGCAGTGTCTCCTCTTCCCATTCATCGCCGGACTCGTTTAACTCTTTTTTTTTAAACTTGATTTGAAGTTTCGTGACTGCAGGAATCCATACTCTTTGGTTCTTTTCGGTTAAAGTCACGTAGGTAGAAAATATAATGGATCACGACGTTTTGATCGCCACACAAGCAGTCGTCCTCAGGTGGGATGGGGAAACAGACTGCTGAAACATGACCTTACATATTTCCGTCCCTGTTTGTACAGCCAACGCACGCACATTGTGATAAGCTCGGGCCTGCTTCCTGGTCCTTAATAGCTCATCGCTAATGACGGAAGAGAGGGAAAAAAAAACCCCTTCAATCGACAACATTCATTCTGATTTAGAAATAAATGCTTTCTTTAATTAGACTGCGGAATAAAGGCACACACCGCCGATGTAGCGGGTCAATGCTGGGCTTTTTCGTTTTGAAAACTTTAATAACGAAAGTGGCTGTGGTTTTTTTTTCTTTCTCCTCCTCCTCTGGTTTGCTTGGCAAAATAAACTTGTTGACATTGCACACCCGGGAAGTGCATTTCGGTATTGCTTGACGCTCGTTGGAATACAAATAATGACGGAGCAACGAATGGGAGCAATTACGTGGAATGCTGCTTGCCACAACGTTCTTCAACTTCTTTCATAAAACATCAACCAATCAAGAATAATTTCAATTCGCAGTCGCATCTAAATGCAACCAGCATCTTGACATCCAGGAACGGTGTCAGGTGGCAGTCATCATCCTTACTTTATTTATTTTTGTCAGGAGGATTTGGACACTACTCGGTGCACACTGTACCCAGTAAACGTGCAAGGTTGGCCAATCGTTGAACCCACGTTGACCCAATCTTCCACGTTTACTGGGATTTTTTGTACAGTCAATCTTACCCATTGAATGTTTCCCGACGTTGCTGCTGATGTTCATGTGGCAGCGGTGTTCATCGGCAAAAGCTGCACCCTAAAACGCAACAAAATATGGGCATGAGACATTATTTATTTCGATAGATCATGGCTTGACATTCGCAGCCCGACCCCATAAAAAAAAACACGCGCATTACGGAATTCACCTTCCCCGACCGCTGCGAGTACCGGCGGTGAATGCTCGGCGCGCATCGTTGGCGAACCTCTGCCTTGCGACGGATGGGTGCAGGGGTCGCCGGCAAGACGAGTCTGGAGCAGGCCCAGGCTGACATGTTGGTGGACACCATCTTCGAACCCGTCGTGCTCATCCCCTGGCGTGAACAGGACGAGGCTGTCAAGGTGATTGCCCCTGTGTGTGTGTGTGGGGGGAGTGGTAGTGTTGCGGTTAGCACCGCTGCGCTACGAACCCGGCAACCCGAGTTCGATTCCCGCTCGCGGCCAACACCGGTGACGATTATCTGAACCGAATTCTGGGCTTCCCCTAGGTCGACTCCTGCCGGCGAGCCTTCGACACTTCACATGGCCTCAAAGTGCACCTAGCCTGGCACCAAGTGCGCCTAGCTCATGTTGACATCACCGCCACTTGGTGGTAAATTGTTGTTGTGGTTGTGTGTGTTTGTGTGGAATGTGGTTGTGTAGTGGTTAGCATGCTGCGCTACGCACCTGGTGATTCGGGTTCGATTCCCGCTCACGTCCACCAACACCACTGACAATTATCTGAACAAGTCCTCGGCCTCCTCTCGATCGAGCTGGGCATGGTGCTGGCCACCCACCCCCTCGTGTGCCGTGCCAGCCTTCATAAGTGTTTGAAAAGTCTGAGGCTATAGGGGGGGATCTTTACATATGTGTGCTGGACTACCGTGTGGTTTTGTAACGTTACCCTGGTGGTGGTGGTGTTGATGCCATTGTTGCTTTTACAAAAATGTAAGCGTCCCTCTCACCGATGGTTTCGTCCACTTTAGTAATAACAATTCCCTCTACTCGGCAACACAATTGCGGCAACGATTGTGAAAGTCTCCATTGAGTTTTAAGACTTTTTTTCAGGATGCTTGAGCAATTCCATTAATGGGGGTGTGTTTGGCTGCATGATGGATTAACCCACCAGGCATACGAGTGGAGGGGAGCAGTGAGTGATACTCTTCACTTCCATATCTGAAGTAAATGCTGCGTTTTTGCTTTTCCCCATCGTCATTGTCTGCAGAAGGAGAAAATTGCGAAACTGTTCAAAGACACCGTGCCTGGGTGGCTGGCCAACCTCGAAGCGTACCTGGGCGACAGCACCTGGTTTGTTGGAGATTCGGTGAGTCCCCGCCATCGTTGGCTTTTCTGAGACTACTTGTCATTCTAAACAGACTAAATTTTTAATATTCCCACCGAAGCTCGGTGGTGCTATAAAGCAACGTGTAAACAACTAGCAAGAATAATGTAATTTATTATTCGGGACATTCTTGATGAGTTTCAGGAGTGTCTTGCATCGCGGGGGTTTGGCCAATTCATTACCGAGTTTTTTTTTTTTGCGTCTGGGAAGACTCTAGAATACTGAGAGAAGCCACACTCATTACGAGGAGATGAGCACCAAAAGGTACGCACAGATGGGTTCACCAACCCACTTGCTGTCGAGCAATACCTTGGCCACCTTGCAGCGAAATATCAGATTTTGGGGAGTTTTCACGTCGACTTTATCACGTCAGCTGTTCGCTTGAAAGGTCTGGATCGGAGGAATGTGCCAACTTGCGAGTCCGTGAATACCTTCCGGAAACTGGAATACAAAGCAAGGCTTAATGGACGGTGGATTGATGGCACACGCTGTTACCCCTCTTCTGCTGGCATGTCCGAGGCAAGCCAGGGTGGTGGCCTTCTAGTACAGGTGGCTTACCGCTGGCTATTACCCAAAAGCAGAGTTGGAAACCGAACAGTGATGCGGTGGCCTCGCAAGACATTCAAATCTGGCTCTGATCCAATCTGGGCCTGGGGCACGGTTTGTCATTTTTCCATATTTTTTTAAGTTTTGGTTAGATTGGTGGGAAAACATGATGACATTAACCCCCCCCCCCCCCCCCCCCCCCCAACTGGTCTTGCACCTGATAGGCCCACAGGGATGACATCACCTTTACGCCCTCTATTTGAGACCGACACAGGAGGACTTCTGGCTATCGCCTGATGAGGCTGGTTGTAATCGGCAGTGAAACGCTGTACTCTGATTGTAAATGTTGTGCGTTTACTCTCCAACACACCGGTGTGCTGAAGTAGTCGCTAATTGGCACGTTTCGTTTACGTGACAAACCTTACTCATTGGTTGTGGTGTGTGGTGGCGGGTTCAACTACACATTTATATTGACGTGATCTCGCCCAAAAAAACCTTGATGGACAATATTGGCCGCAAAAGCCTACGTGTTGAACTTGGTAATTTATGTTGTGCTGACGTCAACAAGTCCATCGCGTGTTCCGACCAACAAACAAAACAACAACAACCTGGCAACGTCTTGACCCACCCCAGGGCTGGCTCGACACGGTTCCCACGCGCGACGCAGTTGTACAGCGGGGGGGGGGGGGGGGAAATTTTGTTTTATGTGAAGGCGCTTGATATACGATTGGGCCATGCAAAGACAAACTGTCGTCTGGGGAAGGGGGTCCCAGAAATGCATGCTTGGGGCTACCAATGCTGCCACCCCGGGAGGAAAGCGCCGTGTTGACGCGCGCCAGAAGCGATGCGGAGACGACGACGATGAGGAGGAGTTGTTGACGTGATCAATGGATGAATGTCGGGATGGGGTAGGGGTTTAGTTGGTGGCCCATTTCGTTGAGAGACCCCTGTTCACGGAAGCCCCGTCCGTCGTCAACGGGGGTTTATTTTTATTTTTAACGCGCACACAAAGCACACGGTGCTGGAGGGGGCGGGGGAAGAAGGGTGATCGTGCGTGCTCGTTCTCTAAAAGCGACGTGTAACGATGACGCAGTGACGCGGTATTTCTACGGCGCTTTACAGCTTCCCAGTGGTAATGCGGAAGTAGAGTAAACGAATTTGACCGGCCCCGCCACCCTCTTTGTGGGTGTACGTTAACATCACGATGTGGATTCTTGTTCTCTATCTCTCTCGTGGACATAACGATGTGGATTCTTGTTCTCTATCTCTCTCGTGGACATAACGATGTGGATTGTTGTTCTCTATCTCTCTCGTGGACATCCAATTGGTAGCTCTCGATTTTGGCTGTAAAACACGAGGCTCGCTCTGTTATTCGCTTGCACTTCACGTGCATGATTTTATTATGAGCTCTGCAGAACTCATTGTGTCCTCGGCGGTTAATTTCAACGGAGCGGTTTTGTGTCCCGTGCTGTTTGTTTGTATGCCAGGAGCGGCATTACGCGTGTGCTTATTAGCAGCTGCCGCTTTCTCTGCCGACTGATACGTGGCATTGACATTGATTTTATTCGTACTCATTTAATCCTCGTCATAGCCCAGGCAAAAATGTTATGACTTGCAGGTATCTCGTATAGCAAAAGTTACCGTGTCTTCATCATCATCATCATCTTTAGTCACGATCGATCCACTGCTGGATGAATGCCTGCCCAAGCCGTCGCCATCTCTCGCGATCCTTCGATGCAACAATCCACCTCACAACGCTATTCATTTTTGTTTTAATATTAAACATTTTCATTCCACATCCTCCCACACATCCTGACGTTCCGGACAGTGTTACCAGGGGCATCGACGGTTTCGGGCCCAACCGGTCTCATTGGAGCAGGCGGAGTGTGGGGGGGATTTTATTTGGGGGAGGTTGACCGGGTCATTGCCGTTCGGGGCTCGGGTATTTAAGACTGGTCTAAGGTTCAGGAATGGTGTTTATTTTGTTTCATTGTCGTACGCTGTTGCGAATTTTTTACTTGACGGTGGCGTTTCTCGCGTTTCCGCCGTGCGCACAGGTGACCTGGGCCGACTTCCAGTGGCACATCGCCAGCGTGGTGCTGGACACGCTGATGCCCGGCTTCCTGAAGGGGTACAGCAAGCTCGAAGCCCTGCGAGACCGCGTGGGCGCCCTGCCCAAAATCGCGGCCTACCTGAAGGCTCGTCCCGTAACCCCCATGTGAGAGTGCTCCTTTTCAAAAACAAACAAACAAACAAGAATAAAAAAAAACGCCACTACAACAAAACTCTCGCGGATTTCCGTCGTAAAATTTACCTCATTTCGTCCTGACCCCTACTCAGTGCAGCAGGTCCACCTGATAAGTTTTTTTTACGGATATATTTGTTCTCCTACTCTGCATCATGAGGCAGGCCACACGCGCACACAAATGAAAATTGTTGGATGCACCGTATTCCGATCTGTGTCTCCCCAGGAAGGGAAGGTGCGGCCCTCAATTTGTAGCCAGTGTCAATTTGCAAATCTGGTCACACCACAGACACATGATCACCTCCCAGATTACAATACGAAGCCTCAACTTTTTGCTTGTACAGGGAAGGGGGTGGGGGATGAAGTGAAAATCTGGTTTACTGGAAATAAAATGTGCATTACATAACAAAGCGAGATGCTCAATAGTTGGCCATAAAATGTTTTGAAAAACATGCTTTTACAAATTTGCAGGGTTACTTCGTATGTTTAGTGATCTTTTTTGAGCAATTTACATTTGCCACAACACTTTGGACAAGCCAACTGAAATGCAGTGTCGGATTGTGCGTGAGTGGAGTTTGCAAACCTGAAAGGCCGTGTGTTTAAGGGAGAAGGCTCTCAAAAAATTCATGCTATGGGTATGGTTTGTGATGGGTGTGGTTGTAAAATGACCAATTGGTGAAGCTGGTGTTTTGGCATCTGTTTAAACTTATGCTGTAATTTCTGTTTAGTGACTTTAATAAAATTATTTGAATACATTTGTAAGGATCTGGCATTGTTTTGTGCTTTTCATTATTTTAGCGTATGGCGGGAATGTTTTTCAGTTTCATTTATTTGGTAAAGCCCTGTGAGCCATTCGTCTCTTGAATCGGGTGCAACCGCAACAAACCAATGAGAGAACCTCTTAAAGTCACTTTGTACAAACAGAAAATCCAAGAAGAGATGGCAAAACATTGCAGAAATAGCACCGTACACAGACGTTGTGTGCAAAAATCCCAGTGGGATGCAAGATGAGCAGCAGTGTTGAAACGTCTTAAAAAAAAAACGCTACGTTTATTTTTCCCAACCGATTCATGGGGGGGGGGGGGGGGGGGGGGGGGGTGTGGGGGGGCGGTAGACCGTGTCAATCCCAGAAACCACCGCTAGCATATTGCAGGGATGGCGCATTCGTCCGTGATGCATTCCGATGGCTTGGAATTCACCACAATCGCAGTTCGCCGATTCTATTGACCGTCCATTTGTGGGAGGTGCACGTGCGCCTCCCACGTTGGAGCGAGGTCTTGCGAGGGTCTATGGCGGTCACGAGAGAGAGGAAGCCCCATCGGGTCCTCGATGAGGAATGGGGTGTTGCCACGTTCGTAGCCGGCCCACGATTTTTTTGGGCCACCACGGCGCCCATGTATTTATTTTCGACTGCTAGAGACTCGAGCTAAAGTACGTACTTCTAAACGGCTCTTGTCAATATTATATTCTTAGTTTTTTCGGTAAAGTCACGTTGAAGAGAAACAACAAAATAACAAAATATATATGAAACAATAAAAAATTCTCACGACGTTTCGACCATAACTCAAACGGTCATCATCAGGTGTGTCGGTTTGCATAAATTTTGTTGTTTCTCTTCAACGTGACTTTACCGAAAAAACTAAGAATATGAATTACTGCAGTCACGAAAGCTTTAAATCAAAATTTAATCGGCTCTTGTCAAGTTTAACTTGTATCAAACTGTCAAAATATTCTGGTCAACACAAGTTGCTATATCTGTGTGTAATTATCTTCTTTGCATGTGTTGAACTAATTTCACACCGTGCGTAGCCAAGCGTGCTGATCGGTGGTTTAGTACGGGCAGTAACCCATGAGCACATTTTCATGAATGTAAATGAAACAGCCCTTTTTAATCCACCGCTTGACGAGGGCGTCTTACTACAAAGCGTGCAGGTGCCGGGGGTTATTGGATCGCGCCTCATTGCGTTGGTCCCCGGTGGGTTGGTAATGGTGGGAAGCGGAGACACGGGGCGCGCGTGACTGGCAGTCGTCGTTCCCCGGTTCGGCGTATGAGCATGGATTCGAGTCGACAGCATGGGTGGCTGGGGGGAGTTGGGAGAGTTCCATATTGCGTGGGGGGCAGCTCGGACGAGGAGCGGCCTCGCGCAGTCTCCACAGAGGGGAGGTGTTTGTGTTCACTCATTTTCAGAGGGCGGGGGGCACATAAGACATCGTCAGTGTGAGGGCCGCTACACCTGTCCTGTTCTTGCGTTTTTGTACAGCCACTTCCGTGCCCTCGTCTAGGAGGCCGCTGTCCTCCTATCTTACAGTAACATGCTGATTTATCACATTAACATCACTAGCCCCGGCCACTTCTTTATGACCCTTGGGCTACTACATTCATTTCAAACCTTTTTAAACAGTCTGCCTCAGCAGCAGACCATGCTTGCCCACCTGATGATGGACGCTTGTGTTGCGCCCGAAACGTCGTGATTTATTTTATTTTATACCTACGTGATTACTTTACCGAAAGAACCACAGAGTGTGGATTCCTGCAGTCACGAAAGCTTAAAATCAAAATGTGTATAAATGTTTATTTATTCAAGGAGCTATATCCAGGGTTACATTTTTGTTTGTCATACCAAAAAAAAGACACGGTTACTTTTTTTTCTTGCGTAGTCCCTGGGGCAACAGTGGCTCGTGGTTGTTGCCGATCAGATCATCGGGCCCTGGATTGATGGTCACACCAGCGGTGTCTCCGTGGAGGAATGCCAAAGTCACGGGGAGTACGTTCTCTCCTGCGGATGGTGGGGTGCGTGGGGGGGGGGTTATTCAGGACGTGTAACCAGGCGTCTTGTCAACCCCCGCCGCTTGTGCGGACTGTAAGGGCGCCTGTGGACGCATCGTGAACGTGGTTCATGGAGAATTGGGTGAAGACGGGGCAATCGTGGACGTTGGGAGCATAACATTGCTGTATTGTACAACGTGGTCCAGATGTCCTGTGACCGTCAATTAATTGGGCCCCGAAACATTCTTTTCCTATTTGCATATTATTATTTTTTTTATTTTAATAAAGGTTTAAAACTAAATAACGTTTTCGAGCATTAAGTGGTGGTGGGGGGTCACAAAACATCTGGACCACAATATACAATACCAGCAATGGATTTTGCTGCGTTGCAAACCGCCTGCTGTGACGGCAGTCAAACAACCATCGTGTAGAGTACAACTTAGGTTGTAAGAGCTCGACGCCAATGATGAGGTGACCGAGTGGGATGAGGGTCAGGTGCATGGCTCTAGTTACACAGAACGTGGGTCCGGATCCATCATTTTCTTGCAACAATATTTTTGTAACTTTTTTTTATTCGGGTAAAAATGATAATACACATAAAGCAGCAATAAAACAGTACGTACTTTATTTTATAATATAAATGTTCATGTTTGGCATCAGCTACTTAATACACTAGAAGACCAGTGCCCAACGTCAAAGTTACTTGGTGTAGTGGGAAAATTCGTTACTTTTTACTCAGGCGGAGCTGGGTTCAAACCCACCTCTTTTAATGTTTATTATTTTTTTTATTTGACAACTCACGTGATGACGTCATCACGCACAGTATCACAGAGCCACGTGCGTGCAGAGTGCATTCACTTACAGCACCCGAAGCCCTTACTTATATGTGGGAGCGGCAGTGGCTCAGGCTGCTGAGTCACGAGACTGGGAGACTGGCAACGTGGATCAACGTGGAAGTTGCCGGGTTCGAATCCCACCAACGGCTACACGTGGAACAACACAAGCCGACGCTCCAAAGCAGGTGCGTGAAATAATATAACCTACGTGGATATACTAACATACATGTGGTGTCTCTGTTACAGATAAATGAGTCTGCTGTGTCTGTGCAAATGGGCAGATGTGTCCAAGAGGAGACTGTGGCAGAGCAGGAGGTACCTGGAGGGAGGGGTGGATGGAGGAAGAAGAGGAGGAGATGGGACAAAGCAAAATTATTTTTTTTGCAATAAGCAAACCGTGTGGCCACTAGGGGACGCTCTTCTACCACTAGGGGGCGCTGTCTACCACCAGGGGGCGCTGTCTACCACCAGGGGGCGCTGTTTCAATGCGTTTTGCCCTTCAAAACGTTCATTTTTAAACAAACTTACAAATTTACACGGATTTAAGCCGTAAAGGCCACGGTTTTACGCAAAATCGTCGTGAAAACTGTAAATTGTGGCAATTTGAATAATAAAATTGCATTAAATTTACTATTACTATACCAAAAAATATTTGTTGCAAATTATTAAAACATAATTCATTAAGAACAAAAAGTATCCGTGCTTATTTTCACAGCGATTTTGCACCCAATAATGTGCGTTAAAGGCTAATATTAGTTGATAAATAGATATTTTTGCTTCAAAATGCGCGTTTCGAAACTAACATGTAAGAAAACAGAGTAGCCCTCGAGTTATTATTTATTACGACCATAACATCTACGTCCTGAGAGCTTTAAAGCTAGAACAAAATGCAAATCTAAAATAAATAAATAAATTCATTGCGATTTTGACACAATTTCTAAACAAGGCCCCATTTCCAGGAAGCCCACCGCAAATAAACGACTTGTTAAAGAAACACAGCTCTCACGAAACACTAACTGACGTGACGCACACATTGTGGCATCAAAGTGCTGTGGGATACAAAGGCGTCTCAAACTCAGCTTCATGTCGCTGGGTCCCTGGATTCCAGGCGCCGAGTCCACAGCGGCTACGAACTGCCGCTCTGACACATGGAGTTGAAGTCAATCGCTAACTCGATCCCCAACACCTCCCCCCTCCCTCCCCCACCCACCATATCCCCGTCCATAACCCAAGGCCACCTATCAACATTCTTGGTGGGGGTCGCTTCCTCTCGTTGCTGACCCCTTCGTTCGGAGTTGCCCCTCCCCTCGGCTGTTCGCACTGCGTAGACGTATCGCCGTTTAAGGATCAGCGTCCAACTCGCTCCTATCGACCCAATTGCCACCCATCCCCCCTCCTCCCCTCATCTCTGTGCGTGTGAAGTTTTCGTATTTCCCTCTAAGATGTCCACCTGACAATCTTCCCCGTCTAACACTGGAGTTACTGGACACAGACCCATGAATAACCAGCCCTTCCTCCTCGCTCCACCTTACTCCCAAGACGCAAAACGCACTTGTGTCGCCCTCTCGTGGCTCACGGGACGCAAAGCCCTCGATTGAATAGAGAGCGAAGGGAGAGTTTAACCACCACAGACACAGTGCCACTTACGCTCTTCACTCAAGTCGTGACTGGCCGGCCTGCCTGCCTTGCTTGCCCAGTGCTGTAATTGGCTCTCGCCTGGCCGCGCATTAGCAGAAGTCGAACTCCCGCGTGACTGTCACGGAGACGGTAAAAGACCCCACGGGGAGATCGGCATTGCAAAAAAAATCAACCAGACCACGATCCAAACGTAGGCAACAGCCGTGGTTTGATACAAAAAACCCCCCAACTGGAAGAACATCAATCACACAGATACACAGCTACCATTAAACTCCCACTCTCCACATCACGCAGGCAACTTCACTCGGCAATTTTTCGTTTCTCAAGACTCATATTTTTTTCAAGAGCAAATCCCTTTACAATTTCCTATCCGCATCTTTAAAACCTTAACCATCCTTCCCCTTCCGAACCTCGCCAGCAACCCCCCCCCCTTTCCCTATCATCGCTTTAAGATGTTTTCTTGTTCATGTTTTGTTTTTTTGTTTGTTGCGGTTGCACCCGATTCAAGAGCCGAATGGCTCACAGGGCTATACCAACAAATTAAACTATTAAACTATCACTCTTCCTTGCCATCTCTTCCCCTCCCCAACACTCGAACTCCATCCCTTTTCCCCATCAGCCAATGACCAATAATCTACCATTCACCATTCTTATAAAGCGCTTTTATATATATATTATATATATATAAAAGCGCTATATGATATTCAGGATAAGATTAGTCGTGACTGGGTCGTGGCAATCAATCGCAATTGGCTTTGAGCGTCACACGCATATGGTGAAAGTAAATCGTTCGCTTCGCTGAAGACCCGTGGGGTGTACTGGGCAAGCTCTTTCCCACGAGACTCGAGATTCCACATCGGACGAGCGCCTCTTTCGCTCACCTCGGGGCTCCTGGCTCCAGCCTCTCCCTCCGGGTCAAAGGGTCAGAGGTTGCAGGGTCTCCACCGCGCTCTGCCATCCATCCCTGCGGCCTCCAAACTCCACAGAGTCGCCTCTCCAGGGACCACGGAGCGGCCCACGTGGGCGACTGAGCTACTCGCTCGGGACGCTGACACCCGGGTTCGAACCGGGTGCGCGGATCCCCCTCTGTGGTCCGGGGAATGAACTCCCAGATCCCCGAGGAAAGCGCCACCGGGTGGGGGTGGGGGGGATGCTGGAGTCCTCAATGCGTTCACGTTGGCTCCGTCCGTGTGGCGATACTCACCTGTGTTGAGCGCCCTCACCTGGGTGCTCTGTGCAGGATCCCAATAGCCGTGTGTGTGGTGTAGGAGGATGTGTGTGTTGTGGGGATGTGTGTGGAGTGGGGATGTGTGTATGTGTGTGTGGTGTAGGGGGATGTGTGTGTGAAGTTAGGATGTGTGTGTGTGTGTGGTGGGGATGTGTGTGTGTGTGGTGGGGATGTGTGTATGTGTGTGTGGTGTAGGGGGATGTGTGTGTGTGTGTGAAGTTGGGATGTGTGTGTAAAGTGGGGTAGGGATGTGTGTGGGGAGCGGCATTGCAACGCTTAGCGCACTGCGCTTCGAAAACCGTGACCTGAGTTCGATTCCCGTTCACGGCCACCAAAAACCAGTGACGATTATCTGAACCCATCCTGGGAATACCCTAGGTAGACTTGGCCTCAAATTAGTACCTCATGCGGTGTGTAAACATCGCCACTGGGGAGACAAAGGCGGCCCATGTGTGGGGTTGCGGTCCTGTGCCACCCACCTCCCTCGTGTGCAGTGCCGGCCTTCACAGGTGCTCTCGCTAACAGCACTTGCCCCAACAATCTGTTACAGGCTATACGGGGGATCTTTGTCTTCTTCTTTGTCTCCTTCACATCGATGCTTTGGTTATGGTCCATCGATGTTGATGCCTCCGATAACGTCAGCATCTTCGTGTGTTCTGATGTGGTAGGAAACCAGATTACACAGATTTCATTTAAAGCTTTCGTACCTGCAGGGATTCATATTCTTGGTTCTTTCGGTAAAGTCACGTGCCTTCACCGAAAGAACCAAGACACCAGATGACTCAGGACAACTCACCGGAACCATGCAGGTAACCCCCCCCCCCACCTCCACCCCATCTTGTCAGGACATTTGAACCTCATAAGCCCACCGGTTACCGCATAAATTGCGTTGCCACGTCATTTTAGGGGCCGTCCATAAACGACGTCACGCGATTTTGGACGATTTTTGACACCCCCTCAAATATGACGTCACAAAGCTCTGCCCCCCCCCCCCCCCAAATAAATAAATAAAACATGCTTCAAATCGCTTTAAACTATTGTCACTGTAGTGCATATTTAATGTGGCGCTGCACTGTGATGTTGTAGGCGAAAACATTTATTAAAAAGTCTATTTAATTAAGTAGAACGTGTTGTCTATATCTATTTAAAGTTGCGCCTTTTGATGTGACGTCACATTTCTCAACCCTCCCCCCCCCTCTTCGTCACACATCGTCACAAATGTCTGACCCCCCCCCCCCACCCCAGGTGCGTGACGTCATTTATGGACGGCCCCTTATGTCTGTCGAAGGCGAACGACACGGCCAATTTCTCTCGACGAGCTCTGCACGATTCGCTAATCAAAGTTTCAAAGTTTTGTTTCTTCGGCGCATTCGTCCTCGCCGCTACGCTTGGACACGACCTAACAGAACCATCCGCGCCAGGCGGGTTCGTGGCGTCTATGTGCGCGGTGGGACGGAGTCGCCAAAAAATTTAGTCATTAATTGCGATTTTGACATTCCGTTTATTCGGGACATCCGGGGTCCCGCCATACAGTTCATTTGCCTGCATTTAAAAATAAGCTGGGCCAACAGCGCAACGTACAGGATGGTCCGGATGTCTCGTGACATCCCCCCCCACCCCTCCATTTAATTCAATGTTTTAAGCAATGTTTATTTAAAACAGACATTAATACGCAAAGGGGGGTGGGTGGGGGAAAACATGTTAGCGGTCAACTAATTGGAGGTCACAAGGCACCTGTACCGCCCTGTACAACCTCGTTGCCCACACAAACGGTCCCCAGCGCTCCGTCAATAACCAGGAGCAGGCACCGTGGAGTCATATTCAGTGTTGGTTTTCCCATTAAGGTACATTTTTGGCGAAATCAACAAAAAAAACCCCATAAATTGTTTTAAAAGACTGTACTTGGGTTGAGTCAATTAAATACCGGATGCCATGGTAGCACATTTCGTGACATGAAAGATAAACTGTTGTTGTTGTTGTTTTGGAAAGTGCAAATAGTATAAAAATTATCCGACTAATTCCACTTACCGTTGGGGGAAAAAAAGGCCTAATTTATTAAGCGCACACATCTGGGACGGCTGGGGTGACTCGGAGGTCAGAGAGATGAGCTACTCAATGCTTATGTACACCGAGTTTGAGTTTGGCTTTTAAACTGCGTTCTCCTTTTTCAAAATCCTGGCCCAGCCGCAAATGCAACAGACACCTACCAACGTCCAAATGTGGGCTTTTCACTCAATTGGGCTACACTCCACCTCTTAAGAGTTGTTCTCACACTCATGGGGCTTCACGGTCTCATGTGACAATCACACAGCCTGTCCGGGAGACTTGAGTCACGTGTCTTCGGCGGTCATTCTCTGACCACCGGCCCCTGAACTGCTCGGAGAAGACGCCTGATGATGCAGCAGACAAAAACCAGAGGTTTAGTTTTCCGAGTCAAGCCCACTCAGCTAAGAAGTTCTTTCACAAGGGCGACTCGGGCCGTCCAAGCGTCTACGCCGACGTTTGGACAATTGTTGGAATAAACCACACAGTTACATGGTTTTTAAAAATGCTTTTTCCAAGTCTGTTTTTAATATATATATTTTCCCCCCTTTTAACATAAAAGTTCAAGGATCTTTTATTTCATGTGACGGGAGCTCCAAATGAGTTGAGAGAGCTTGTGTGTTTTTTTTTTAATGAAATGATTTCTGTACACGTCGTCTTGACAACATCGTATTGTTTTTTCCCCCTTCTCCATTAAACACATCTGATGGTAAACACAACTGGTCGTTCAAAATACAAGGAGACTCACACCGCACAAGGAAAATAGCTAGTTACACTAATCACGTCGGAATCTGAGCACGTCGTTTTTTTTATACATAAATTATTAACCGTTCTCATTTGCCGCAGACGCTGTGCTGTCCTTAGTAAACCTCGCGGTGAAGGATGCGTATGAAAGCCGTATGAAATTCAGTTGAAACACTGTCATCGTTTTATAATATGTACATACATTTTACGCTTGTGTGTTTTTTTTCTCTGTCTCTTTCTTTCTTACGCTTGCTTGGAGGATTGACTCCTGCGTCGGGTAGTCCCTCCATACATTCCAGCTTGGGAACAGCTTGCTTGGCGGTGGAGCTCGTCGCGGACAGAGTTATCGGTAAACGGAATAATTCATCCTTACGTTGCCGGCCATCGAAAGACGAGCGAGAATCCTCGTGGACGCATCCACATCCCACGCCCCCCCCCCTCACCGATCCACCCCTGGCCCCCTGCACCCACCCCCGCCGCTCCCACGGGGCTCAATCCACACGGGGCTCGTGGCGCGAGGCCTCGTCGACGACTCTTCATCTTCGACACGGTGACAAATCGCAAAGCGGCCGGCGCTTCTCGCGAGGTCTGCCACGGGAGATCGAGTGGGTGGAAGGGGGGGGGGGGATGTGGGGGCGGGTGGGTGGGTGTCGGTGGGTCCCTCGGTCACTACGAGAAGCAGGCACGCACGCACGCGCCGCTACCCGGGCCCGGCCGCGGCTCCGCGTCAAATCGAGGTGCCCCTCATCGTCTCGCACGACGGCTCGGGGATGTATCCGCTCGGAGCCTGGAAGGTGACGCGACCGGAGCCGAGCGACTTGAGCGGACTCTGCTGTTGCCTCTGCAGACCCCCGTTGGGCGCGCGGTGCTTCAGAACGAGCGGCGGCGGCTGCTGCTGCTGCTGCTGCTGCACGTGGTGTTGGTGCTGGTGGTGCTGGTGGTGCTGGTGATGGGACGACTCGGGCCCGGCCATTGCCATGCCGGGCGGCATGCGCTGAGGCTCGGGCAGGAAGGAGTTGACGGGCATGGCGAGGGAGCGGTAGTCCCGCGGCGCGCCGACCTCGCACGCGAGCATCTCGATGGAGGGCAGCGAGAAGGGCTTGTGCATCCCGCCTCCACCAACCACGCCCTCGTCCAGCATGCCGCGCTCTCCAACGCCGCCGCCGCCCGACGTGGACGACGACGACATCTGGGGGTGAACCTGCTCCATCTCCAGCTCCTTGTCCTCCTTGCGTGGCGAGGACATAGCGCGAGAGAGGCAGCGGACACGTGCTGTCACCGCGAGCCCCCGTGCCAAGAGCAATCGCGGTTATTATCATCGCGCCTTCCGATTCGCGCGGTTGGCTACGAACGGGGACGAAAGGAGCTTGACATGCTTTTACCGTACATCAGGATCATCCTCTCACGATTAGATAAAAAACCCACTCCCCTAAGTCGTCACCAGCTCTCATGCGATGTAGCAATCCGCATAGCCCCCCTGCGTATCATAGCACCCACTCACGAGGATAGCGCAAACCATCTTGAGCCAAACATGAAAGTAAATACCAGGAATTGTGGATGTTGCAGCCTCTTAGGCTGCGTATACTCAAGCAGCCAGGGCACTATTCCAGATTGCTTTGTTACCTACTCTTCAGCGATTGAATTTCACCGCAAGAGAACACTTATCATTGTGATTGCACTTGTTTATTCAGGAAACCCTCACTGAGTCTCAACACTATTTTTCAGGAGTGTCCTGCCAAGTTTTCGCAGCAGTGGACAATGTCATTGTGCAATCCCAAGTGAGTAAATTTGCAGGAGATTTTCCAGCAGTAGTATATTTGGTCAATACCAGTTGCATAACATGGGATTTTGTTGTTGTTGTTTTAGCAATGGGATGAAACCGGCGAATCTGGAGGCAACCCACGTCGACCACGGGGGTGAGCATACAAACTCCGCACAGAAAGCCTTCCCAGTCTGGAATCGAACCCGGGATTTTCTTGCTACGAGGCACTGGTGCTACCAGCCTTTATAGGTGCTCACTAACAACACTTGGTCCAACAGTTTCTTCAAGGCTATACCGGGGGGGGGGGGGGGGGGGGGTCTTTGTTTTTGTATCCGGTTGTGCATCTGGCAGTCATCTCGATCAGCCAACCCATGGCACCTAGCTTTGACCATGTGACTCCTGCCAGCAGCGAGCCTTCGCCCCTTCACGTGGCCTCAGAGTGCACCGAGCCTGGCGAGATGTTAACTACCTTGCCTGGTATACAGGAGGTCGTGTTTTGGATGCGGACCCTGATATCTGCTGCATATTTGGAGTTTGCATGTTTTTCACGTGGTCGCGTGGCTTTGTCTGAGTCCTCCGGTTTAACCCCTCCACGTTGGAAATCAACATTACGCGTTTAGAGAAATTGGCTACTGCTCTAAATTTCCACGTGATAATCCACATCGTCGGTGATCATTTGTGGCCAGGTCGCTTCTGAAAAAAGAGTTACGTAGCTCAGTGGGGCCTTACCTGGGTACAAAATAAAAAAAGTTTGTTTTTACTTAGTGGCAAACGGTGGCTGCTGCTTCTGCTGCTGCCGTTGTTGTTGTTGTCGTCGTTCGACTCACGTTGGGCGGGCACAGGTTGCCGGAGCGCCGGTGCCAGCACGCCTCGCAGGCGCCCAGCAGGCACGCCAGCAGCAGGCCCGCGGCCAGCACGGCGAAGGCCCCGGCCAGGCTGCTCAGCTCCAGGCCCGGGGGCCGCTGCTGGGGGAGGCCCGGGCCGTAGGGGTCGCACTTCCCGCGCCGAGGCCACCACTTCTGGCGCAGCGCCTCCAGCTCGCCGCTCTCTTGCAGCTCCAGCAGCCTGGGGGGGGGGGGGGGGGGGGGGCAGAGGGGGAGGGCAGAGGGGGGGGGCACCGTCCCTCGCGTCAAAACGGCCACGCGCACCTACAGAACCACTAACACAGCGTCACACCCACACCTACAGCACCACTAACACAGCGTCACACTCACACCTACAGCACCACTAACACAGCGTCACACTCACACCTACAGCACCACTAACACAGCGTCACACCCCACACCTACAGCACCACTAACACAGCGTCACACTCACACCTACAGCACCACTAACACAGCGTCACACTCACACCTACAGCGCCACTAACACAGCGTCACACTCACACCTACAGCACCACTAACACAGCGTCACACTCACACCTACAGCACCACTAACACAGCGTCACACTCACACCTACAGCACCACTAACACAGCGTCACACTCACACCTACAGCACCACTAACACAGCGTCACACTCACACCTACAGCACCACTAACACAGCGTCACACTCACACCTACAGCACCACTAACACAGCGTCACACTCACACCTACAGCACCACTAACACAGCGTCACACTCACACCTACAGCACCACTAACACAGCGTCACACCCACACCTACAGCACCACTAACACAGCGTCACACTCACACCTACAGCACCACTAACACAGCGTCACACTCACACCTACAGCGCCACTAACACAGCGTCACACTCACACCTACAGCACCACTAACACAGCGTCACACTCACACCTACAGCACCACTAACACAGCGTCACACTCACACCTACAGCACCACTAACACAGCATCACACTCACACCTACAGCACCACTAACACAGCGTCACACCCACACCTACAGCACCACTAACACAGCGTCACACCCACACCTAAAGCACCACTAACACAGCGTCACACTCACACCTACAGCCCCACTAACACAGCGTCACACTCACACCTACAGCACCACTAACACAGCGTCACACTCACACCTACAGCACCACTAACACAGCGTCACACTCACACCTACAGCACCACTAACACAGCGTCACACCCACACCTACAGCACCACTAACACAGCACCACACTCACACCTACAGCACCACTAACACAGCGTAACACTCACACCTACAGCACCACTAACACAGCGTCACACTCACACCTACAGCACCTCTAACACAGCGTCACACCCACACCTACAGCACCACTAACACAGCGTCACACTCACACTTACAGCACCACTAACACAGCGTCACACACCTACAGCACCACTAACACAGCGTCACACTCACACCTACAGCTACACTAACACAGCGTCACACTCACACCTACAGCACCACTAACACAGCGTCACACCCACACCTACAGCACCACTAACACAGCACCACACTCACACCTACAGCACCACTAACACAGCGTAACACTCACACCTACAGCACCACTAACACAGCGTCACACTCACACCTACAGCACCACTAACACAGCGTCACACCCACACCTACAGCACCACTAACACAGCGTCACACTCACACTTACAGCACCACTAACACAGCGTCACACTCACACCTACAGCACCACTAACACAGCGTCACACTCACACCTACAGCACCACTAACACAGCGTCACACTCACACCTACAGCACCACTAACACAGCGTCACACTCACACCTACAGCACCACTAACACAGCGTCACACTCACACCTACAGCACCACTAACACAGCGTCACACTCACATCTACAGCATCACTAACACAGCGTCACACTCACACTTACAGCACCACTAACACAGCGTCACACTCACACCTACAGCACCACTAACACAGCGTCACACTCACACCTACAGCACCACTAACACAGCGTCACACTCACACCTACAGCACCACTAACACAGCGTCACACTCACACCTACATCACCACTAACACAGCGTCACACTCACACCTACAGCACCACTAACACAGCGTCACACTCACACCTACAGCACCACTAACACAGCGTCACACTCACACCTACAGCACCACTAACACAGCGTCACACTCACACCTACAGCGCCACTAACACAGCGTCACACTCACACCTACAGCACCACTAACACAGCGTCACACTCGCACCTACAGCACCACTAACACAGCGTCACACCCACACCTACAGCACTACTAACACAGCGTCACACTCACACCACCACTAACACAGCGTCACACTCACACCTACAGCACCACTAACACAGCGTCACACCCACACCTACAGCACTACTAACACAGCCCCACAACCACACCTACAGCCCAACAGTCACAACAACCATCAACAAAGTCCAACACTCACACAGCCACCATCTACACGTCACCAACACCCTCGCCCACACCGCCACACAGAATGCATCGCGTCACAGCCCATACCGTAACTTTTCACAAGGCAACGTGTCAGCACCTACATCCTAACACTCGCAGGAATGACGCCGCAACAACCACTGCTTGATTAGCGACCACTGCAACAAACCTCAGCATCCACAATCGAGGCTTTCGGGTTAGATCGTGTAAATACAAATGTGTCGTTAAACCCGCCAGCACCCGACACAGCAAATTAGTGGGGTGTGTCATGTAAACAAAGCGTGCCAAGTCGTTACTAGTACAGAACATCAGTGTGTTGGGGAGTAAACCCGCAACATTTACCATTGGAGTACGACGTTTCGCCAATAATTACAACTGGTATCCTCAGGCGACAGCCAGATTTGTGCAGAAATCCTCCTGTTCGGTCTTATTGACGCGATCTAACCCCAAAGAACTCTAGTATGGATAATATTGGTCGCGAAAGCCTACGTGTTAAACACACCTCAAGATGTGACTCTGCCAAAGAACAATTATACCCATTGGCAATTTGTCCAGACACTTAGGCCAGCGTTTCTTAAAATCGCCCTGCCACTGTTCACCCAGCAGTGTTCATGGGGTACAGCACTGTAATACTGTAGTTGATTGGGTTAAAGTGTGGGAGCTCCCAACTATTCCCAGACGTCTGGCCAGTGTGGAGGCCAAAATAGCCGCCAGCATTGGCGTGAACAGGTCATTGCGGGGCTGCACCTGTATCTTAACTTGGAACAGTATTGTTGAATGTCACGCTTCCTCCTAAAGAAAGTTTTAGTTTGCGGAGAATTTAGGATAATTATCACCATGGCTGCAGGGGAAAAATATAAACTAACTTTGAGCTTACCGTTAATGTTTTGTTCTTTATAAATTAAAAGGAAATGTAATTAATATCAAGGTGCCATTGTGTTTTCATGCGCTGCCAGGCGTTTGTTCCATGCGAGGCAAATTTGTCAATTTAAAGGGAATAATTCTAGTAAAAATACCAAAAATGTTTTATTGATTGCTTCAGTGAGCCCATTAAACGAGTGTAAAGATGGTCGTAATCTTTTTTTTATCAAAACTTGTTGTGCAGCTGGGACTGAACAATAAAGGAAAGTTTTTTTTATGAGGTACAGGAACAGAACTAATGCAGGGAACTTATTTTAATCGAAATTTTAACGCGAACTGCCTACGCTCATTAAATATTGTCGCTATCACGGCGCACACAACAGCCAAAGTATGCGGCTCAATAATGGCTCACAAGCAATTTGTGTTACACACATGGCACATTCATACACACATGGCACATTAATACAACATATCTCTACCGTAATTAAAATATCTAATTTCTGTGCTACATTTAACCCCATTAAGCCCTCCCACCAACCCTTACCAAAAGAACCCCAAACCATGATACAATTAACTTTCTTCATACCCCCACCCCCCCCTTTTGCCAAACGTGACTCAAATTTTTCTCAAACTCATTACTGGCCAAAAGACCTTTGGAATTAGGCAAATCATCCGTGTAATGTTGCAATGAAACCCACGAGTGGCAGACTATTAAGCAGTGGCAGCATTTCTCTCTTTTCCAGCACACGGGGCCAGTGGTGGTTGTTTTACTGTGCCGCGTAAGATGGCCCCTCTCCTGTCTCTGCTTTTGAACGCAGAGCCCTTCGGATTGAACGACTCCTAAAAACCCGTGTCACCGTGCGCGTGAAAAATCATGGCACAAGCGTGTGTAGGAGACACAAGAAAATGCACACACACAACCACCCCAAATGCCTTTTTACAAAATGGGCAATTGTGGCAATAGCCCGGTCAATTTAGTGCTTGCAGTAAAAGTAATTGTCCTTATTAGGCTATCGTATGCCAAACAAGCATTGTACGAGGTGGCGAGGAGGAGGGGGTGGTAATTAACCCTGAAAGGTGGCAGGGAGTGGGCACAATTCGGGAGCGGAGATAATCGCTCCCACGTGGCCCCCTGCGCAGCGGCGAATGGGAACCCGTGCTGTGAGAATTGGCAGAAGCCATGCCCTTTGCAAGTTTGCTGAACATTACAGCCACCAGCAGCATCACCACCAGCACTAAACTATTATTTTATTTCACCAGGTAAGGCCCACTTAACTATATGGCTTTTTTTTCAGAAGCGACCTGGCCACAAGTGATAACTCAACGAAGTGGCTTATCACGTGGGAATTTATAGCAGCCAAATACTCTGGAACGCGTGTTTCTAAATGGCGAGGGAAAAACCGGAGGACCTGGATAAAAATCCACGTGACCACGGGGTGAACACTAAAACTCCAAATATACAACAGGCGTCAGAGTCAGGAACTCACGACCTCCTGTAAACTAGGCGAGGCAGTCAACATCTCACCACTACCAACACCACCATCGTATTATATTTCCAAGTCACAACTAACTTGAACAATAATATCCTTTATTCTTCCAGAAAAGGCACGTGGAATTTCAAGATTTGTTCAGCAGGGTCCTGCGTTGGAACGCTTCCATCAATGTGTAGTTTCCATGTGGGAGGAAATAAAAACTACCAGGAAAGACCCAACCACACAGATGGGTGGGGAACAAGGTTCTGCACAAATAGATTCAATAACCAAATGCAGCACTGATATCTGGTCACCTCGTGACCATAGCCTATAATGCCTCGTGTCTGTTGCCAGTCTGCCATCCAAATACACACCATGGTTCATCATCTCTGCTTAGCTTCCAAAATTGGCTCTAGGTAATTAAGGCCCTTGCATGCAAATACCACTGCCCAGTGTCCCATGGCAGATGTGGTTTTGATAGTGTGCACTACTGAGGTATGCATATGTTATGGCGTTTTGCGTGTGTGTGTGTGTGTATGTTATTGATTGGGGAGTGGTAGTGTAGCGGTTAGCACGCTGAACCTGGCGACACGAGTTCGATTCCTGCTCACGGCCAATACCAGTGACGATTATCTGAACCGGTCCTGGGCCTCCCCTAGGTCGACTCAGCCTCGAATGAGTACCTGGTGCGATGTGTAAACATTGCCAATAGGGAGACAAAGGCGGCCGGGCATGGTGTTGGCCACCCAACCCCTCGTTTGCTGTGCCGGCCTTTATAGGTGCTCACTGACAGCACTAGCCCCTACAGTCTGTTAAGACTTTACGGGGGATCTTTGTCTTTTTTTTTTGTCAAAGTGTGCGTGTGGCATGGTCGCAGGCTCTCACCGCCGGGAGAAGGCGTCCTGGCAGGGCCTGCCATGTGAACGTGTGCGTGTGAACGTGTGTGCGCGCGTGTGTACGCGTGTGTACGCGTGCGTGCGTGCGTGGTGTGCGTGTCGTGTGCGTGTCAAAGTGTGCGTGTGTGGGAGAAGGCGTCCTGGCAGGGCCTGACATGTGAACATGCGTGTGAACGTGCGTGCGTGTGCGTGTGGTGCGTGTGGTGGTCGCAGCGCCCACCGCTGTGAGAAGGCTTCCCGGTAGGGGCTGCCGTGTGAACGTGTGCGTGTGTCTATGTGAACGTGTGTGCGTGCGTGCGTGTGGTGCGTGTGTGGTGCGTCGTGGTGGTCGAGGCGCCCACCGCTGTGAGAAGGCGTCCCGGTAGGGGCTGCCGTGCTGCAGGGCGATGCCGTAGCCCTTGTCGTAGCCGACGTTCCGCACGCTCAGCGAGCAGTCGCCGTCCGACAGCGCGGCGAACTCCAGCACGGCCGTGTCCCACACGAACGCGTAGTTCCCACGCTTCACCTGCACGCACGCGGTTACCACGCGGTTACCACGCGGTTACTGGGAGCGTGGCAAACTCCAGCTCCGCCGTGTCCCATGCAAGCGCGTAGTTACCATTCAGTTACCCACGCGGCTAACCCGCTGTTCACCTGTGACACACGAGGTTTTTTTTATTCCGAAGTACATACACAAGTGCTGCACACAAATGCGCATTTGTCTACTTTTAACTCAAGAAACCAAGGCCATGGTGGTGAGACAGCATCGGAGGCAATGCCAAGGTCACGTGAAACAATGACATCAGCCGTCTGTGAATAAACTATATTTTTTCAAGTGTAGCAGAGTTGATCGTCTGAACCCAGCCACCGCTGTAAAAATTCGATCTTTCACTTCATTTGGCGGAAGTGCAACTCTCAGAATTGAAATACAAGTAGCGGTTGGCCATTCGACAAACGCCAATGTCATAGCAAGAGTGTGTGGGCAAATTGCGCCCCCTAACTGTGCGACGGCAAAGCATCAAGAGATGAGCGTATGTTCACGAACAGAAAAAAAAGTTCCGTGGCAATCAACAAACACTCGCAAAGTACTCATTTTCGTACCCCAGGTCCCCCTTGCAAAATAAAGGCTTTCGTCCGAATGGCCTGTCACCCGTTCATAAAGCTTGTTGCGCGATATGCGTATAATATTTTACATTTTACCAGGTAAGGCCCCACTGAGCTACGTAGCTCTTATTCAGAAGCGACCTGGCTATCACAAATGATAGCTCAAACGAAGTGGCTTCTCACGTGGAAATTTATAGCAGAAAAAATACTCCCAACGCGTGATTCTAAATGTGGAGGGAAAAAATCCGGAGGACCTGGAGAAAAATCACGTGACCACAGGGAGACAGAAATGCAAAGTCCAAATATACAGGTGTTGTCAGGGTCGGGATCGAACCCATGACCTCCTGCATCCCAGGCAAGGGAGATAACATCTCGCCACCGCGGTGCCCCCAAAGCTAACCCTGGTCGCCCTTGCAAAATTAAAACGTAGAATGAAGAAATACTGCTTGGTACACGATGCGCCCTAACAGTCGAAAGATACAGGAACCGCAATGTGGCGGCAGATGCCACCCCCTCAAAATACCATTAACATCCCCAGCAAGCACCGCCGACTCCATTACTCTGCACAGGGACTCCTGCCAGCAGGCAAAATTAATCAAGATGAAGTAAAATAATAATATACAGTGAGGGAAAAAAAAGTATTTGATCCCCTGCTGATTTTGTACGTTTGCCCACTGACAAAGAAATTATCAGTCTATAATTTTAATGGTAGGTTTATTTGAACAGTGAGAGACAGAATAACAACAAAAAAATCCATAAAAACGCATGTCAAAAATGTTATAAATTAATTTGCATTTTAATGAGGGAAATAAGTATTTGACCCCTCTGCAAAACATGACGTAGTACTTGGTGGCAAAACCCTTGTTGGCAATCAGAGGTCAGACGTTTCTTGTAGTTGGCCACCAGGTTTTCAAACATCTCAGGAGGGATTTTGTCCCACTCCTCTTTGCAGATCTTCTCCAAGTCATTAAGGTTTCGAGGCTGATGTTTGGCAACTGGAACCTTCAGCTCCCTCCACAGATTTTCTATGGGATTAAGGTCTAGGCCACTCCAGGACCTTAATGTGCTTCTTCTTGAGCCACTCCTTTGTTGCCTTGGCCGTGTGATTTGGGTCATTGTCATGCTGGAATACCCATCCACGACCCATTTTAAATGCCCTGGCTGAGGGAAGGAGGTTCTCACCCAAGATTTGACGGTACATGGCCCCGTCCATCGTCCCTTTGATGCGGTGAAGTTGTCCTGTTCCTTTAACAGAAAACACCCCCAAAGCATAATGTTTCCACCTCCATGTTTGACGGTGGAGATGGTGTTCTTGGGGTCATAGGCAGCATTACTCCTCCTCCAAACACGGCGAGTTGAGTTGATGCCAAAGAGCTCCATTTTGGTCTCATCTGACCACAACACTTTCACCCAGTTGTCTTCTGAATCATTCAGATGTTCATTGGCAAAATTCAGACGGGCATGTATATGTGCTTTCTTGAGCAGGGGGACCTTGCGGGCGCTGCAGGATTTCAGTCCTTCATGGCGTAGTGTGTTACCAATTGTCTTCTTGGTGACTATGGTCCCAGCTGCCTTGAGATCATTGACAAGATCCTCCCGTGTAGTTCTGGGCTGATTCCTCACCTTTCTCATGATCATTGCAACTCCACGAGGTGAGATCATGCATGGAGCCCCAGGTCGAGGGAGATTGACAGTTCTTTTGTGTTTCTTCCATTTGCGAATAATCGCACCAACTGTTGCCACCTTCTCACCAAGCTGCTTGGCAATGGTCTTGTAGCCCATTCCAGCCTTGTGTAGGTCTACAATCTTGTCCCTGACATCCTTGGAGAGCTCCTTGGTCTTGGCCATGGTGGAGAGTTTGGAATCTGATTGATTGATTGCTTCTGTGGACAGGTGTCTTTTATACAGGTAACAAGCTGAGATTAGGAGCACTCCCTTTAAGAATGTGCTCCTAACCTCAGCTCGTTACCTGTATAAAAGACACCTGGGAGCCAGAAATCTTTCTGATTGAGAGGGGGTCAAATACTTATTTCCCTCATTAAAATGCAAATCAATTTCTAACATTTTTGACATGCGTTTATCTGGATTTTTGTTGTTGTTATTCTGTCTCTCACTGTTCAAATAAACCTACCATTAAAATTATAGACTGATCATTTCTTTGTCAGTGGGCAAACGTACAAAATCAGCAGGGGATCCAAATACTTTTTTCCCTCACTGTATAAGGACAAGATAAGGGAGCTGTGTTTTGATGAGGCTTGCTGCTATATTATTTCTTTATTGAGGCAGTATATGAAGAACAAGCTAACCAGCTGACAAGCAGATTTGCTAAGTTGACTCTCGTCACCGGCTCCAAACAGTTGTTTGATGAGTTCCGCGAGATTCACCTCGATTTCATTGCCGCCCAAAATAGTAATGTGTCTCGCAGGGAGAGACGAGCAAAAAGAAATGCAATGAAGGAAGGTGCAATAAATCCTTGGCGCAGGAGCGCAATTAAACAACGCCGACCGTTAATTCCCCCATTCTTTTTTCTTCTTCAGATAACCCACCTTACCAAGTGGGCTTCAAGCTCACTAAACACATTTTGCGCTGACGTTAACACAAAGCTACCGCAAGGGTTTGCGTTTAGAGTGCGTGTTTATTTGTCGGACAGGTGCAGAGCATTCGTACTTTCTTATCCCTAATGATCATACAATACCTTGCTTGCTCTACACTCCGTTAATTTGAAGGGGCGGGTGCCAGCGGCGGTGGCGGGGGGGATAAACAAGTCTGGAGTTTCCAAACGTAACGGTGGCCCGGTTGAGCACTGAACATTTAGAAGCTGGCTTTCAATATTTGAGCATTAAATATTGAACGAACGCTTCAGTGGGAGATTAAAGGAACGGGAGTAGGAACGTATCAACAGAGTGCACTCTTCGCGAGCGTGTGTCGCTGAATTCTTAAGCGGATGGGACGAGGCAGGTTCGGTGGCGGACACATGGCGGCGTGCGACGGAGACCTGGGAACATTAAATTGCCACTCGGCCACATCACCGAGACGAAAAGGTCAGCGGGAAAACGGTGCGACGCGAGAAATTGACCGTTAATAACATTTGCATTTGCCTCCCCAAGTCACCTTCGCACACGCACGGGGGTCCACCGTGGCGCCACCGCACTTACCCGCATTCGCTCGCTCACGCCACTGTGGCCGTCTGGAACGCTCTTCCTTTAAATATGACGAAGCCACTGGAGCTATGCACTTTTAAATGTACATTGAAAGCTAATTTCTACGAAACTGATTTTTGTGTTTAGTTTGTTGTCCTTCCCCACGCACCTCCGATTAGCACGGTTGGCTAAGTACTGCGCCTGGAGGCTGAAGTGAATCGGCGACCCGTATGTATGCTGAACTTCTTTCGCACCGTACTTAGCCAACCGTGCTAATCGGTGGTGCGGGGAAAGGACAACAATCTAAACAGAAAAAGCGGTTCTAAATTTTTTTTTTCAATCTGGATGACTTAAAAGTGCATAGCTCCAGTTGCTTCCTGATATCGGAAGAGCGTTCCAGACGGCCGCAGGAGGGCATCTGAAAGCGTGCGATGCGGTGACCACCGTCTTTGTTCGATGGCTCTTGCCAAACGCCGCTGTGAGGGCGACCGGATTGCAAATCCGGTGTGCTGCTACCCACGACACCACAGCAGCATCATATGAATGCCAAATCAATATTTCATCCTACGTGCAATTAAAGCAACGAGCATGAACACAACACGGATTAAGCGAGTGGCACACTTATTCCAACTGCAGCATCCACGCCGCCACGGAGTCGTATGGAGGGTTTTGCGGTAGGGGGCACTGCGCGATCGCGGCCACTGCCGAAGTCACGGCTCACGACGCTCGCAACAAGCGGCCGCAACTCACTCGAAAAAAAGCAATAAGGTGTCGTGTCATTTTTCATCCTGGATAAAACAACATTCATCTAAAAACAATTTCCCTCTCTTTTGCGCCCGCCCCCCCCCCCCCTGCATCACCCACCCACCCACCCACCATCACCACCCCCGAACCGCACGCCTCCAACTCCACACCGCTCACCCCCGGCGCAGACTCAAAGCCCCCTGCCTCCGTTCACTGCCGGCGAGCAATTCCGTGGGGTCATCTGGCAACGGGAGATCTGGAAGTGGCAACGTAAATAATGCCCAGCGCGACTCCCCCCCCCCCCGACCACCACTACCACCGGCCCCACCACCGCCACCCTTCACGCCCGCCCCTGGCCGTGCCAAGCCGACTCTCATTGCTCACGTTAATAGGGCAGCAGCTCATCACGTCTGCTCGCTAACAGTGAAGGGCACACACACGCACGCACGCGGGCAATGGCAAGCTGCCCAACAGGGTCAGTCATTAGCGCAGTGGCTACTGTAAATACAGTAAAGCGACCCTCTCCAGAGGAAAATGT